TACGTACGTTACTTACGTAACTACTATATATATATATATATATAAATATAAAAAAAATATATATATATATATACTATATATATATATATATATATATATATATATATATATATATATATATATACATATATATACATTTATATATATACATATACGTTTATTGTTTTAATCTTGTGGAAGTGACAAAAATAACAAGTAACTAAGCCGTATTAAGCATAGTAAAACGGATATAAGTGGTTTAATATTAGTACGTAGTATCATAGACAATTAGACATAATAATAATGTTTGTTTGAATAACTGTATGCGTGTGTATTACGTTATTTATAACAATTTTACTGTACCTTTATTGCGTTTTTTTGTAATTATATAGATAGGTATAGGTGGCTATTATTTTAATGATTACTAGCCATGAGGACATCGTTTCTCGATGCAATCATACGTAATGTAACGTACTGCACATGAAAACATTGCAACGTACAACAAATGCACTTGGCACTCATGTGCAGATATGGATCTACCCACTTGGTCACGAACGTATACGCGAACGCAACCACACACACGTACACTCACATGTAAAATAACGTTATGAAATAATATACATGGTAGGAAATGAATCCTACATCACGCAGCGAAAAATTAATAAAGATATCAAGTATTGTGTTTTATATTATACACAAAAATACACGTATACGCGCGCGTATTCACAAGCACGAGCGCACGCACGAAGAAACAATCGCACGTACGGACGCACACACGCGTACACACGCGCACATATACCCACGCACGCACGCACCCTAAATAACGCACCCACGAGAGAGAGATCATACTCGATTTCATAACCATTGCGATTCCTTTCCGGGAACAAGCTTCGCATCGTTGGACTCGCTCTCGGCCGTCGCCGCGTTCTTCCCGTTCGGCTGACTCCCGCCAGTTTTCGGGCTGTCCCTGTCTGCGACTCGTAGCGGCAGCTCGCTCTTACAATACGACTCCGTCGCTGTTTGATCAGGCAAGTCCGGAGCGCCGATGCTGTGCTCGCGGCGTCCTCGATTCACCTTACCGCAAGGTGAGCAGATCATGTTGAGTAAGTGGCCACTGAAGCCCAAATAGATCCACGGATTCGTGCAAGCGTTGAGGCTTGTCAGCAGCAAGAGGATCGTGTATGCAGTGTGATTCCCTGCAGTGCAACAAGCAAGAACGTCTGCGTGAGAAAACAGCCAGGGCAGTCTCGCGTTCCACACAGAGAAGCGTGAGAAATAAGAGAAGCGCTGTTAGTTATTGTTTTTGGGGGGCATCAGGTATTAAGGTCTCAGGTATCAACTGCTGCTAGACAAAATTTTGTGCGTTGCTTGATCATCTAAGCTTGCTAGCATGTTACTAATAGATGTCCACAGACGTACACATCATAGCACGACCTGTCTCCCCCCACTGGCACCATGCCGAATCGGCTCGATCCCTATAGTATTTTATTTTAATTTTATTTCTTTTTCATTTTTGACATAGCTGTACATATAGAGATAACTCTTGAGTGACGAAGATAGATAGACAGACAGACAGACAGATAGATATAGCCTAGATTCCGTATTCGAGGTAACGTGATAATCATTAAAGCGTTTAGGTGTGCCCTTGTACGGTCAATTTTTTAATTATGTATCAATGTATCGAGATATTAATCACCTAATTGTACAAGAGATGGGTTTATTGCGATATTCCTGACACAGTGACACAAATCAAGAGAAGATAATAATTATAATAATGCGCAAATATTCTCTCTTTATACAATGGATCATTCGCACTTACCAACAGACGAACCCGAGAATGTCATGACCATAATGGTAACGCACCACGGAGACCAGCACACGATGTAGGCAATGATCACCACCAACGTCAACCACACCGTCTTCACCTTGCCTTTGCCCATGCACTGACCCCAGAGGATGACCTTGACACACATCATGACCTGCGTCGTCGCCATGATCGCGAGAGGCACGAAGAATATACAAATGACGAACCAGGTGGCGTAGACCTGTGAACCCCACTTCTGATTGAACTTCACCCAGCAGTCGTATATCCCCGTGCCGTCGGCGACCTCTTGCTTGGAAAAGAGAAACGGTTGCGGTATGCTGAACACGATAGCGATGATCCATGCGATTCCGACCATCATGTGCACGGACTTCTTGGCGCTCCACTGCTCTCCAAAACTGCAGCATCGGGTGTAGATCACTGCTCGGAACCTATCCAGCGCCATCATCACTAGTATGTAGCTCGACAGATAGAGAGGCATCACCTGCATGTACTTGACGACTCGACACGCGACGTCTCCGCCCTTAAACCGATAGGTGATGTCCCACAGCATCTGCGGCAGTACGTTGAAGCAGGCCACCATCAGGTCGGCAATGCTCAGGTGCAGCATGAACCAGTACATTCTGCTTAGCGGGTACTTGCAGGAATAACGCAGCAAGGCGATCAATACGAACAGATTGCCGAAGAGAGCAAGAGTAAAGATGGTGCCAAGAATGGCAACTTCGACCATCGCCAGGACTTCGTCTCGTTCAGCTGACATGTTTGGGTCCTCGGTACAGTTCACAGGGGTTGGTTAGCCCCTTCACGTATCTGAAAAGCAACAAAAATTGTTTGGTTTCTTTATTTCGCTAAAATAAATCTACATACACGTATGTACGAATTTATGTAACCCGGACTGTCCTTGCGCGAAGATACTGTATAGGACTTCAGTCCCTGTATATGCGCACGCGTGCGTGAGGGCAAAGCCATTTTCAGGCAAATGTAAAGAGGACCTCTCCATTACAACGGAATAGACAAATTTGTGTTTTTTTAACTGAACACGGCATTATCTCAATGGTATATCTAAGTGTCGGTGGGTGTACTGGGGGTAAGTCGCTAAATTAAATATAGTGTAAGTAGTATAGTTTAGTTAAACTGTAATGTGATAATGGTTCCTTACAATAACAGTACTGTGTGATACAGATACAGTGTTTATCTTCTGCATTCGCAGTTCTCCGAATGTTATTTACTGGCTGTCTTTTTGCGTGAAACACAGAAGGCACTCCAAACTAATGCCTTAATGCCACATCGTGTTATTAACCATTTTCCGTCGCACACGCAGCACACGGATTACGGAAAGCTTTGAAAATCAAAATATACCCATAAAAAACTCAAATTGACTCAGTGAACTATATATATACATACACGTTCAAGATTTGGTGGCTAGAGCCAGTAAAAGAATGTTCATGCTAGCTAGGCTTAGCTGTGCAGATCTTGTACAAATTTACTGTGGTTACGTCAGACCGATTCTGGATGCTGCACCCGTCTGGCACCTGGGCCTTACCAAAGAGCTGTTCCAATTCTGTCACTGTGAAAATTTTTATTAATTAAATAATTAATTAGATCCGGATCACCACCAAAATGTCATCAATTCTAAGTTACCCCATTTCTGACCTATCCTGAAAATTTTATGACAATCCGTTCTTAACTTTTTCAGTTAGGCTGCACACAAACAAACCCACAAACCAACAAACACACGCCGGTTAAAACAACCTCCTGCCGACCCCTTGGCGGAGGTAATAATTGGAATAGGTATGACATGTACGATGAGGTACTATCTCAGCTTCAGATCCAAAGACTTGCGTTTCGTCGCGAGCAGCTTTGTGAAAATGTTGCTTATCAGCTAGTTGTAAACGATTACAGGATATTTGCCCTCCTTCAGCAATAAATGTGTGTAACCGCATAATACGGAATTCTAGTAAACTCCGGCTTGCAAAAGTCCCTCGTACCAGCCGGTACTTCAATAGCCCTGTTCCGTACATGTGCAGGATGATTAACAAATTGTAAACAGGCACTGAATTTTTAACATTAGCATGGATAATTTGTCTTTTGCTTGCGCCCCTTTATAAACATTTTGGTCTCTTTGAAATAACTCTCTGGGCAACTTTCGGTTATGTGATATGTTTAATTCTATTGATTCTATCATTGTGTCGCATTTTAATTGTAACTATTTTTTTTACCAAAAATCACGTTATTATTTAGTATATATTCAAAAGATGGTTTTTAGTTGTAGGGATATAATTTTACGAACCAACATTTTAAGTGATACTCATCGTCTTACCATGCGGAACATATATTTATTGTAAACATATCATCAATTTCCAGTTTTATACTGCCTGATGATATTCTTGTTTTCAAAATTTATTTTAATTGTAACGTTTTTATCGTAACTAGTTTTGCAATAAACCTATTATCTATCTATCTATCTATCTATCTATCTATCTAGATCTATCTATCTATCATCTATCTGATATTATAGTATATATTATCATAATTATTATATCTATATATATATATATATCGGTGCTGGGTAATTCACAAAATGTGATCACACCCTACAGATGTTGCCTCTAGCGATTGCTAGCTTCAAGTTGTATAGTGTTGAGAGTCTACACCATGTCTACGTACTAAGACCGACACTGATGGTTAGGCCTACTGGCTGTGAAATACGATAGATAATTACGATCATGGTGCCACATTTTTCATCCTACGGGTGACAGCGGCATGACCCGCGCCGCCCTTCTTTGCCGGAAGCGAGTAAACTGCGGCACGAAGTTGCAAACATGTGTGATCCATTTACCCACGACAAGTCGTGTATAAGTAGTACACGTGTTGGCGGGGACGTACAAAAGGAGGTTAAGCAGATTACGGACGGAATGTAATTGGAAAAAAATTTCACTAACAAGCCGCTCTCCTAAGCTACCGTATTCGTAACGGGCTCTCTGGCCGCACGAACAAACCAGTAATGAGTAAAATAAAAAAAATCTGTAAATAAGTGTTACACAGATATAGTTATAAACAGAGTAGATAGAGCGTCAATAGGCGCGATATCGTGTTTTATTGCAGTTTGAGTGGTTTACGGTTGAGGGTATGGTATAATTTAAGCGAGAAATATAATATTTGGCTATTATATTACTAATTATACATATTTTTCAAACTACCAGTGGTCTGGACCCGGTTCCACAGACGTGGATTAACTTTAACTCTGAGTTCAAGCTAACTCTGAGTTAAACTCACTAACCGAGTGTAACCGTTAGTAAACTCCGAGTTAAATTTGGGTTTCATAAACATGGATTAAATCCTGAGTTAAGTAATAATTATTTAGCAGATTCGCTGTTACTAATTACTGCGACAACTCCTTGATGTTCCGCCGTCATTATGCCTATATGTTATTATGTAACCCATGTAATCAGGATGTAATCAGAGATGACACTTATTTTTCCAACGATCTAAACTGTAGTTTAGGTTCTATGTTGGTTAATTCCTCGTCAGCTCAGATGTACGTATGGGCAGTTATATGATGCAGAGTCATTTATATAATTATATACGCCCACTGAGTTTAGTGTGGTAAAATAAATCAGCGCCGTTACGTGCGATTTTCCCCTTTAACATTACACAGTGGCAAACATTAATTTGTTTTAATGTTTTTAGGCGTTCTCGCCATCATCTGTATATGTTTATAGCGGTTCTAACCGCAAATCAGTAGATCTCAGCAAAAATCTTAAATCAAGCTTATCCAACCGCTTTCACTTTAGGGCAAATATTTACGACTCTGTTCAAAATCAGCTACCTTTGAAACGCCAGTCTGATACCCCCTGCTGCTGCGCATTTAGCGCTGTCTGAATGCGCACGATAACAGTTTGCGAAAAGAAGTTACACAAATTGTTAATTACGTACGTTACCAAGTTAATCGCCGCGTACAAACACAACGAATGAATAGCTAGCATAATATATACAAATTTCTCGTGGTCATGTCAGACTATTAACGCAGAAATGAAAAGTAAATGAATGTAGTTTTAACAAGTGCTCTGTTAAGTGTCATGCACATATCAGACTTACGTCATCATCGTCATAACGTAATCCGGTGTAGGAAAAGTGTTCACACGAAAATTTGGTCGCAGGAAAATTTGTCACACAGAAAATGTTGTCACAAATAGTAAATCTCGGTATACTACTGTTTCCTCCTTCCGAGTTTTTCTCCTCCACTCTCGCTCACTCCCTCCTCGTCGTGTACCCCCTTCTTATCTACATCCTTCCATCTCCTCTGCTACATCCTCCATTTTAATCATATACCTGTTTCTTCCTTCTCCACCTTCTCCCCCTCCTCCCATCTTGTCGTTCGCCACCTCCTCCCTTCACCACCTCTCCACCCTCTCACCTGCTTATTTTGCTCCTATTGGCCTTCCTCATTCTTTTCTCTAATAAAAGAATTTATATTAATTATATATATATTTATGTCTAGACATCACGAATATAAAACTACGTAATATCAAGAGCTAATAATACCTATTATTATACTATAATACCTAGGTATTATTAGCTCTTGATAATATATGTATATCGCAGGATATCAAACGGATATCTTTCCAATTTTTAAATATCGCAGGCAATTACAGCTATAGAAAATGCTTATAACTGTTACAGCTACTATTATTGATATACTGCCCACCGCTACGCCACAGCTGGTGCCGAGGAAATGCGAAATGCCCCACGCACGCACGCACGCACGCACGCACACACACACACATACACGCACACGCACACGCACACATACACACACACACACACACACACACGCGCACGCACGCACGCACGCACACACATACACACACACACGCGCACGCATGTACGCACGCACGCACGCACGCACGCACGCATGCACACACAGTCCGATTTAGAAAAGCGTATAGGTTGCGTCGTTGAGATAGCGGGCGTAACTCGGCGTTACCTTGACGCCGCCCCTTCTAATTGTTGCGAGAAATAATTAGCGGCATCACTCCGCTCACTGACCGTTGTCCTCTAGTTTTGACGTCACACCGTATTTTCGGACTCCCTCTCAACCAGCAGCAATTAAAGCCGTTTGGACTCGTGCCAATACTTATGCCATGTACACAGATGTGGTTAGTGATATTCTGAAAGCTGTACTGTAACTTCAAACGAACTAATAATGCATGATCGCACGACGTAAATTCGATATAATTTTATTGAATAATTTATTATAAGCCGATATGTTATCTCCCGCTAATATTTCCGCGGAGGTACGAGCTTTTATTTAGATACTTACGGATTTTGATTGGAAAGCGATTTTTCTTAGTGTATAATTTGATAATGAGCTTATACTAAGCTACATCAATATTTGCAAGTAAATTAGGTGCATTTCTAAGCACATCTGGTTTATCATAATGTTGCAATGCGAACAGTGCTAATCGTTATATTTGGAGTATATAAACACGTGAGTGTGACTGTGCTTTTACTATTGTGTGCACGTACGCAGGCTCAAATATACTTCAAACGCTTCGGAACATAAAACATTTATGAATACGGGGCCTAGTATTTGCATTCTCAGTACCTAAAAATATTTCTTACGCACTCATGCCAATTCTTTAGGCACGCCGGATGTTATTCCTGCAATACTTTTATGATCGATGATTGGTTTATTAATTCGTCATTCGCGCCACCGAGGGTATACGAATAAGTTACAAACCAAGCCGCAATAGTATCACAACAAACAGCCCACATGAACATGGGACTGGTTGTGGGGTTATTATCTG